CTTTACACGAATATCGAAACAATTATCCCACAACTTCCAGTAAGTTCAAAAGTCAAACCCCAACGATTTAAAAAGTATGCTGAACGTCTTCAATGCATCCTTAGCTATTATGAAATTCCCTAAATTTGGAAGAATTTCTAAACAATTCCTTGAACATAAAACAAATGTCAGCACTCTGAAATTTTGCGAAGTTTCACGAAGTGTTACGTATGTAATTCTCTTGACAAAGTTCTTAGAATTCCTATTAACTTGGGTGCACTCCTACAAAGTCCTCTGAACTTTTAATAATTTCGTTGATTTGGAATTCTTACGTTCTTTTGCCTCAGTGTATACCACCACCGAACTCTGATCCAGTACTTACTTCGAGTGCTTCGAGTACACGGAGAGCTAGATTGGGCCGCAAGTTCGAATTGCTGGAGGAAGAGAGAAGGATGCAGGAAGAAGCTCAACAGGAACAGCTTGAGCGAGATAGACTGATTCGTGAAAGGGCTGCAAAAGAGAAGATCGAACGGGATAGGTAGTATCTTGACAAAAAGCGTGATTTGCTCATCCAACAAGAGGAGGAAGACGAAATTGCGAGTAGAAGATTGGGTCATCAAACAGGTGAATTCAACTAGCCATACTGGTACCGGCCAGCCATGGTAAAAACACCGAAGGCTTTTGCATTTTGCCTACACGGTAAGAAAAAAGTACCCAACGGAATGTTCACTTTTACCTACTTTTGACTAGTTTGTCTCCTTTTCTCCTTCTAATGTTGTCAAAAACGGAGGAGAGAAACCACCCAACAGGGGTAGTAAAGTGTGGGAACCCAACGTTGAGTATAATCATATTTACCTACTTTTGGGTACAACTAACTTACTTTTGGTTAAAAAGCCAGTGGAAAATTCCATACGAATTGCACACAAGTAAATGAAATTTACTTTGACCCGCTTTACCTACTTTTGGGTTCCTGCAGTATAGTGCCGAGATGAGTGAAAAGAACTTAATTTTGGGTACTTTTTTCTAACCGTGTACAAACACACCACCATGAGCATTGAGTTTATATTACGCTCCGTTTATATTATATGATATTACATGAGTTTATATTACGCTCCGTACCAGTGCACAGTGGTCCAGAATGCAGATTTAGGTGGAATGATATGTTTTGAGCCTGAAACTGAAACTTTAGACTAAAAGTCTCTTCTACAAAGTTGTTCTTTATAGTTAGGCCCTCATTTTTATGATAATGAATTCTAGGGTGGTTCGTATTATCATTAAAATCAAAAATCTAACTTTTTTGTTTGAATAAATTAAGGTATACATTTTTCGACAAAGTTATAGCTGAGATAATTTCAAGGAACTTTGTACAAAGTAACTTTTTTGTATCTCTTAAATTGGCCTATTTAGAGCTATTTTCTTGAATTGAGCTAGGGTGGCTCTTAAAAAAACAGTTTTCTTGCTCTAGTTTTCTTATTTCGAATTTCTCAGCAAAGATGTCTTCAAATAACTTTTAGATCTTAAAAAGGCGCAAATTTTTGCTGCACAAAGCTTGTCAATATCTTTCGCCGATCAAAAGTTATTGACGTTTTTATACTAAAAATATGCACTTTTCATATGTTATATCTCTGGTTGGGGCAAACAAAAAAAAAGTTTTTTTACGGCATTTGAAAGGGCATATGTTATTTTAAATAATATGAAAAAATTGGAGGTACGTTATATTTTAAACTCGAAAAAAAAACAATTTGAAATTATTCATATTTTTTACTATATTTGAGTATATCTTTATTATTAGAAGAGATACAGGCAATAAATTCAGCTATAAAATATTCGTCTTAAAGCGTTTTAAAAGTCCCTAGAAGATGACTTTCATGATAAATTTCAAATAAAAAAGTTATTGGCAAAAGATGGATTTCATAGGACCACTCTAATGACAAATTTATATAAAATGTGCTAGTACATTTGTTTCAATATTTGGACATTTAGTGTCTTTGAAAGTTTTTGTTCTTCAAAATTCCCTTCTTTTGGTGTTTGCAAACGTCAGGGTGGTCCTCAAATTAGGGAATTTTTAAAAATAACTTTTTTGTTTTACAAAATAAAGACATGTGTTGTTTAAAAAAGTTATAGCTAAGTTAATTGCAAGCAACTTTGACGAAGAAAATTTTTTTCTATCTCTAAAAGTTCTCATTTTAGAGTAATTTTTCGGAGTTGACTTAGGGTGTTCCTGGAAAAAATAGTTTCTTAGCAATAACTTTTTTATTTGAAATTTTTCATGAAAATTATCTTCTAGAGAATTTTAAAACTCTTTAAGACGAATGTTTTATAGCTGAATTTGTTGCCTGTATCTCTTCTAATAAAAAAGATATACCCAAATATAGTAAAACATATGAATAAATTCAAATTGATTTTATACGAGTTTAAAAAATAACATACCTCCAATTTTTTCATATTATTAAGAATAATATACGTCCTTTCAAATGCTGCAAAAAAACTTTTTTGTTTGTTTGCCCCAATCAGAGATATTAACATTTGAAAAGTGCATATTTTTAGTATAAAAACGTCAATAACTCTTGATCGGCGAAAGATATTGACAAGCTTTGTGCAACAAAAATTTGCGGCTTCTTAAGATCTAAAAGTTATTTCAATACACCTTTGCTGAGAAATTCGAAATAAGAAAACTAGAGCAAAAAAACTGTTGTTTTAAGAGCCACCCTAACTCAATTCAAGAAAATAGCTCTAAATCGGCCAATTTAAGAGATACAAAAAAGTTATTTTCAACAAAGTTGCTTGAAATTTTCTCAGCTATAATTTTGCCCAGGAATGTATACCTTAATTTATTCAAACAAAAAAGTTATATTATTGATTTTAATGATAATAGGAACCACCCTAGAATTCATTGTCATAAAAATGAGGGCCTAACTATAAGGAACAACTTTGTAGAAGAGACTTTTAGTCTAAAGTTTCAATTTCAGGCTCAAAACATATCATTCCACCTAAATCTGCATTCTGGACCACTGTGCAGTGCTCGATAGAAAACACCAAACGTAGAGAACAAGGCACCGGTACCGGTGCTCATGCATAATTGTTTGCACCGGTGTATGGATTCTTCGGCAAACACCAAAACCGAGTGTTTCTGACTTCGGAAAACACCGCAGCCGAGTGTTTTCGATTTCGGAAAACACGCTTGCTGCTCGTAGAAATTTTCTTTGGTCAACTTATGAAAGATTATCGTCTTACACAAGGTAGCTCTTATACGCCTTTAGCATTTTCCATTTACTTACTTACTACTTCTTCGCTTTTCAAGCTTATTGCATATCGCATATTAGCTTATTGCGTGCTCTCAACTTAGTGTTCTAGATGCACTTCCACAGTTATTAATTGAGAGCTTTCGATGCCTGTACCATTTTTGCATTGGTATAATTGTGTGGCAAGTCCAATCATACTTCTATGCCCAGGGAAGTCGAGAAATTTTCCAACCCGAAAAATTCCTAGACAGGACCGGGAATCGAACCCAGCCACCTCCAGCATGGTCTTGCTTTGTAGCTGCGCCTTTACCGACTGAGCTAAGGGAGGCCCAATTTTCCATTTAACAAGAGCTGATAGAACGGCGCCGGTGGTGTAGTGGTAAGCGTGATTGCCTCTCACCCCAGCAGGCCTGGGTTCAATCCCAGTCGGCGCCACTGGGATGTTCTGAGGCATAACATCCCTGATCACGCCTTGTAAAGCCGTTGGTCCCCGGTTCATGAGTTGATGATGGGTCGATAGGAGGGGGTCCAGGTGTGGGAGCTGCCTTCCTGGCGCGTCGGTAGCATTGGTGCTCAGCACGGAAAACAAGATCGACGGAAAACAAACCAAAGGAAAAAAAAAGAGCTGATAGAGGAGTGTTCAAAGTATTGGTCTCATAATGCCAATGTCCATGGTTCGATTCCAGTCAGTCTGTCCCCCTTCAATATTTTGGTCAACATTATTTTCATAAGGTAAATCTATGAAATTCATTTCGTTTTTTTTTGGCTAAAAAGCAGTACGCAATCTTATTAATCTTATGAGCTCAAGGGATCATCTACCAGGATTATTAAAAATACGCAAATCACTCACTTCGTAAGAGCGTGTTTCTGTTGCCGTCCATCCACTGGTATTCCTTGGCTTTCTTTTTACTAATTGAGCTGATTTTTTAATGCGATTAGAGTCAACCTAATAATCATAACGTATATCCAACAACAACAAAACAGCTCCCATGGCTGACAAGTCACAGTGCTAGTTTAGTACTTGAACTAGCATTTCGGAACCGAAATATCCCAGAATTAAGAGTGGAATAGCTATGGAAAATCAAATTGGGCGTTTGCCCGGGGTGCATTTTGGGCTATTTTCCCCCTGTTCTACCCTACATAAATGGTGAGTAGTTCTGTTCACCCACCGCTATTTGGGTGTTTACATTTGTACTGGTGTGCTGGTGCTAGTGAACTAAAGCTGTACTTATAAATAGTCAGCATAATGTAAACAGGGCGTCAGCATATACCAGCATGATATTTCAGGAGCCTCTGAAATTCGTGCTTGTTAGTTGAGTTGGTTGAGCTAGTGAACCAGCTATTATGTAAACACCGCATAGATCTCTACTATGATATCTCAAAATATATATCGTCATTTTGTAAACATTTTTAAAAATTGACAAAAATCATAGTTACGAATGCTGACCCATCTTGCCCCACCTAGCATGTTCTATGAACTTTCATGTACACATCACACATGGGACGACTATGCTACCACCGGCAGTGTAATAACGGCTTAATAACACATCCTATTTGCATCTTGCCTGCGAAAAGAAAAGCTTCTTCAGCATCGGAAGCTGAACTTCGTTCAAGCTATTCTGCCGCATCAACCGTCTCATCTGATACCTTCTTCCCGCCAACAATCGACGAATCAATTCGTCACCTACCGATGTAGTACGATCCGCTGCCGGCTATGTTTAGCATAATTTGGTAACACATTGATTGAACAATTTGAAAGACAAACTCGAATGAACTCACCTGCAGCGCCGTGCTCTGATCCGAGAATTGACTGTTGAAGAACGTGGTCAGGATGTTCATAATTTCGTTGCACACATAATTCTCCAGCTGACGGTTCGTATAGCTTCCACCTTTCACCACATTATTGATATCGATCAGGAACGACTTCTCGAACAAACACCACATGTGGTTGGAGGAATAGATTTCCTTCACTTCCACCTCCGTGTCGATGTAGCAATGGCATAGAAAATCTACGTAGGCTACCTTCACCTCCGGAATGCAATCCGGATGCGATATCATTGCAACTATGTCGTCCAACGCCAGCAAGCTATTGCACTTGATTTCCGTATATACATTCTTACCCATCGTACAACAGGCCAGCAGCTTGACCAGTTCGATGTGATACATCAAAGGACTAGGATCGACCAGATCACCACTGCTGTAGTTTCTCATCAACTCAACAAAGTAGTTGAACGAAGATTTGTCGTTATAGAACACCAGCACATCCTCGCCGGCATTGACCAGCTCCTGCATGACCATATCTTGACACTTGCGGATGAATTGATTCTCCGCTTTGATGATCGTCTGCAGAAACTTGAGATACTCTACATGGCGACCGTGAATCTCGATGCAGTGGACAAAGTGCTGCACGACCTTATCACTAACCTCGTTGCACAGGTTTAGATTGTCCTTGAAGATGGCGCAGACGGTTTCCGCTTCCAGAATCTGTCATTGTGGAAAAGGCATGACGTTTGAGATAATAGTAATGATAAGTATAACGAGATATACTTACACCAGGATTCAGGAATAGATCCAGTTGCTTGTGAAGCAGAATTTGATTCTGCTGGTTTCCTAAGCAGAAGTTTTGCAGAAATTCGTGAGCCAGGCGCATCAGCTCATTCATCCGGTAGTCATCTTTCTCGTCGTATGGAATTTGTAGCAGATCCAGCACGACGGTGTGGACGCCCACGTTCCGAAGTAGCCGTTGTTCGTGCTTCCTGGGCTTAATGACGTCAGCTGGACCTATGAAAGCATTGCTGTCAATTCGTGACCTTAGTACGAACATTTAATCACAAATTACCTGTTGTGATGCATAGCTTATTCATCCTGATCAAAATCTGCTGAATTTTCTTATACTCAGCGGCCTGTTCCGGATTCAGCTCCGGACCCTGATCAAAGTTCAGCTGAGATTCCTGCTTGACCAACTCTGGTTTCACTTTGGCACCAGACGAGTTCGTATCTTTATCCTGTTTCTGGCCATCTCCAGCCTCACCGCCTTCACCTGCTTGCTGAAGCTCATCGGACTGTTTGGATTTGTAAACCCATAGTTCCGATTTCTCGACACTCTGTCGCAGCACATCAAGATCTGACTTTATCTGCTTGTAGGACTCGACGTCACTATCCGATACCAACAGTTGAACTTGCCGGAATGCGTGCAAAACCTCCTGCCGCTGGCTGAAGTGCCGGAAGAGTAGGTGAAGAGCTCCGGACACCAGCGCCGGATACTCATGCATGATCAAGTGCAGTAGGACTCGCAAGAACGTTCGCCCTCCTTGACCATCCAAATCCAAAGGGTTATACGTATCTTCATTACAACCGAAGATCCCTTCCGCCTGGACACCAATCGACTCGAGATCAATATTCTTCTGTCGGAGATTAATGTTTTCAGTAGTAGCAGGTCCCAATTTGACTTCCGGTTTAACATCCGGTTTCGGTTCCGGACTGACTGGCTGTGTCTCCTCAGTAGTTGACTCCACAATAGTCTCAACGGTCGAGGCTGACAATAGCGAAACCGAATCCGAAGTAGTGTCCACGAGTGAAGCTTCCGTAGAGGGAACAGCAGGAACAACTGGTTGAGCAAGTGGAGTAAGCGGAGCAGTCGGTTGCGGCTGGTGGCTGTTGGCAGTTTGCTCATTCTCGTCAAATTCCCGCTTGAAAATCGACAACAGACAACTGATTCGATAGTCCAGACGAACGTCCAGGATAAATTGCAAAATTTCAATGATCTTCAGCTTGGTGTCCATCACCAGCGGGTACTCCTTCAAGTACTGCGAAACGGACTTGCGATGCTGAATGTTGGGCGAAACCAGAGCAGTTGAGATCGGACCCAACGTCAGGGAGGTCATAACGGCTCCCATGTCGCCGATTCGCCGCAGGACACCGCCCTCAGCTGTGGAGCAAAAGATGAGAATTTCGCAAATTAGACTAATGGTGTCGGTTTAGGGCCACGTCGAATGACATTGTGCATGAAATCGTGTGCTGTTGTAATCAAAGTTAAGAATACAAATCAAGCATAATTGAATATTTCGCGATGAAGAAAGGTCTCGTTTATAATCATTTAAGAAATCATGTTCTCGTCAGATACCAGCGGGTTCGCTTACCTTCAGATGGGAGTGCCTGGCACCTTTTCATCGGTGTGTGAAGAATCATTCGACGGTTTTCTAAATGATGTGTTGTGGTGTTGGTGGTAAAGATGAGTGTATGACGTGTGTAAATGTGTAGGACATTGAGCATGAAACCAGTCAACGAGATGAAGATTTTTCACATTAGTTACAAAATTGTATTGATACATTTGATTGACACCGAAACAGGCTCCAAAAGATTACCCAACTTTCTACAATACACCATGCGTTTCCACTGGGAATTAGGTACATTGGCACAAAGATTGATGCCCAAAATATCTTAATTTGAATAGGAAGGTACGAGGAAGATTATCAGTAATTTTACCAAAGTAAGAAGAAGACAATGCGACCACTGATGAAGGAGGAGTTTTAGTTTCCAACAAATACGATATATTAGAAATTGAGTTAATCTGCTGATAAATAATTCTAGATAGAGCTGGAATTACGGCGTAACAGCTTTTGTAGGCAATTACTTCTTGTGATGATTTGGAATGGATGGAAACTAACATAACCGTCGGATGGGGGAAGTTAGAAATCATCGAGAGAAGTCAAGGGGTATTCAACTCTGCATACCTTAATCTGTGCCAAGAGTTTTGTCAGTGCCGGAAGCTGTGCCAAGCGTTATGCCGATCATTTCCAAGTAGGCCGAAGGGCCTGTTCATAAACTACGTAGACAGTTTTTTTGGAATTCTTGACCCCCCTCCCTCCCCCTGCGTAGACAATTGTCAATACAAAATTTTTAAAATTTGTATGGGCCGTGGATAATTGTCAACCCCCCCCCCCTAAAATGTCTACGTAGTTTATGGACAGCCCCGAAGTATATAAATCAAGGTGTCAATAGGTGTCAATATCCCATGAGTTTGGCAACCCTGAAGTTAGTCTTTTGTGATTGTGTTTACATTTTCAATTTCTCTAATTCGTGACTATGGTTCATGGCAAATATTAAGCTTCATTCTCATTTGAATGAGAGCAGATTGGGCAGTGGAAGAGGAACTGGAAGCGACCCGTCCACAAGAAACGGATGGTGGACGACATTTTCATTAGCTGCCAGTGAAATGCTGCCCGACAAAATCAAACCCAGAACTCGAACGGACGAAAGTTCACTACCACCCTAGAAACAACATCCTCGAAACAGTTCTGATCGACTCAGAACCACACAACCTCGAAGACATCACCAAGCCTATCGTATTGCAGATTATGATGTCTCCTACCATCACCCAATTACATAAGTTCAAGCATATCAAGTTCACGATCCTTTGCAGATGTGATACCTTCACATACAAGGTACCACTAATCAAAACCAATGGCCAATGCACTACCAGTGAAAACCATCAAATGTCCCCCCACTTCATATCTGTCATACCTCGGAAATGGTGCACGATCCAGATAAACTTCGCATCTGCAGTTCAACGGTACCCTGTTGTTGTTGTTGTTGTTCATCTGCACGCCCATGGGATCTTGCCGAACAGCAAATTACTTTGTGTCGTCATGCGTCATGCACTTTCGAGATTGAGCAAGGCCTTATGGTTGATTGATTGGTAGGCCACCCATCACACCGGGTCCTTTAGAGACGAACTAATGCAACAGAAGAGTGCAGATTAGATCGTTGATGATGGGGTGTAATCACAGAATAGAATGTAATTGCCTTTTTATTGCATTGATCTGTTCCTATAAATCCTATCCTGTTTCTCTAAGGCAATCGTTCAGATCTGATGGAATATTTGAAGTTAATACGTATCGACATCCCCCAATAAGTAATGGGAGTTGTATGGACATCCCTATAAAGTCCTGTTGATTTCTTATCGCAGTCCATACCAATTGAAACCAATGACTGGCAACGTTACCTAAGGAAAACGTAGGAGTAAACGATAAAGTTTTCATCCCGGAAGACCCTTGGCAAGACCGGGATTCAAACCTGGCCGAAATACAAAACCCATCACCCACACCCCCTATGATTTAGTTTTTTTTTCTTTATCAGCGTGTCCATTCAAATTCCATTTTTCTCAAACCACCACCATAAATAAAACAAATGGTTGAAGGATCTCATAAATTTGTTTTCGTAAAATCAGAATTAATTGGATAATCAATAGGTTACTTTGTAACCTCCATTTCCTAACACAGTAATCATTTTTCTGCCACGATTTTTTTAAACCAACCGTTGAATAAGTTGAATTAAGATTCAGATCGCGAATTGGTTGAATTTCGGGATGTGAATAGAGATATGTTCAGAAATTTATTAGGAAGTCTTGAAATTGAAAAAAAAAATTGAAGCGCAGAGAAAAATGTTCAACGTCTTGGACAAATTCGTCAATTTTAAGACAAGCAATTTTAAAGATCTAGAATATAGAAACTAGTAAAACAAATTTTCATATCTCTGGAGCCTAGACAAGTGTTCTGGATCGTATCAATAATTATCATTATTCTGGAACGAGAAAAATTTTCTCGAAAAATCTTAATCTTCTCGAAAAGTTCATTTTAGAGATATTTGACATTTTTTTGTTATCTTTAATTCAAACAAATTAAGAAAGCGTAGAAAAATTTACGATATGTTAGAATGTAAGTTCACAGTCCTAAAAACATTTAATGATTCTAAAATATAGAAAATATTTAATGATTTTAAACATGAAAATTTGTTGATTCCGTACTTGTATAAAATACAATTTGATGAGCTTGGAAAAGAATTTCTGAAAAAAATAAGATTCTACCACATGATTTTTCGATGTTTGCCAATACTAAAGCTTCCGGCCTTGAAAGATTTATCGAAATTCAGGTCTTTGAAAAAATCTCTACCGCTTGGAAAGTTTCTTAGACCATTTTCCAACATGTTAGGTTTGGAAAACTTTCAAGATGACGAAAAGATATCGGAACCAGAGTTTTTTTCAAAACCTCAGAAAATTTGTGATATCTCGAGATCATAGACAATGGAAAAAAAATTGTACATCCTAATTTTTCTTGAAGATGACGGACTTTAAACAAATGCACTCTGGCCATTCTATTTAAGAATAAAAAAAAACTGTTTTTTCCGGTTTTTTTTCCAGTTGTCTAACCTAGTTTTCCCAGTTTAATTGAAACAGTTAAATATGGTTAAATGTCCCAAGTACCGCCACAAGTTTTATCGCAAATCCTTGCTTGAAGCATAGATCATTTTTTCGCTTAATTGTTGACCCTAAAGAATACTGTATGTAATGTAGTAAGCTCAAATCATGTTATTCGCAATTGGGGATTGGAATTGAGAAGAGAAATGCAAGGAAATTCCAATGATGATTTTTTAAATAATCTTAAAAGAATCTTTACAGGATTCCAAGAGGATGATTTGAGAATGCTTAGCAAAATTTCAAGGAAAGTATTTTTTATTTATAGTAATTTTTACACTCTCGGATCATTCGTGCTTTATCCGGGTGAGATTTGAACTCATGATTTTGGAGTGAGCGGTATGGATTCAAATCTTTATGTTTTACAGACTAACCTCGGCATTCAAAGATGTCCTAATCTTGGTATCTGGTTAGCACAAAGTGCAGAAACCAATGTTTAATTTATTTCTATGTCCGGCGTCGAACACTTGCATGCCAAGCATGATCGGAGTTTGCAAGGTGTTTGAGACGGCATGAATCTGCTGCGCGATCTTGAAGTAGCTTCGTAACAGAATATGTCTCGATCAGCCTTTATACTAGAACTACTTCACTAGGGAACCTGTAGCAAAAGAATTCAAGCAATGAGATCATATGACACCATATTAAATTCTATACATTTAGCTATCGTAGTAGGAACAACGACAAAATCACCGCTTGATCCGGGCACGAACAAATTGTGAGTGAGAGAAAAGAATAATATGAAAGTTGTAAGCAAGAGAATATAATGATGTATGTGTTATAAAGTTGATTGATTCCAAGTAACATTATAAGTTTAAAGGTTTGAAGGATTCTTCAAGACCAAATGGCCTACAAGACTTATATAAAATCAAACTTGTTGCTTGGGATGAGTATTTCCCGGTGCAATTTGGGTTTCCCGTAAATCCGAATTCCCGGTTTTTTCCCGGATTTCCCGGTTTTCCCGGTTGGATGAACACCCTGACTTTATCGTTCGTTGTGCATAACAACGTTGTAAAACAAAACAAAAATCCTCCGCAGCTGGCACAATATTGTCGTCGTTCAAATGATTGCTGTCCATTCACGCATTTGTCTAACCGTTGCTGGAGGGAACCAATTTTGGCCATCTTGACTGTCGTATTAACCCTCTCGAGTTCATGGTGTGGAAGAACTCTGTTGGTGTGAAGCAGGACGAAACCACGAGCCTCTGGAATTTTCGCTACGAATCGGATGAGATAAACTTAGTTTCATGGTGCAGACAGGTGCAGGCAATACTCACAGCATTTTTCCTTGGAATCCGAACGCAATGTGAAGCCCAATGCAGTAAACAAAGAAGTCAACCTTAGCAACGATTGGCAAAACGTCAACTCTCGACAGTGATGCCGTTTTATATTATGTTGATTGTATCCTACTTGTCAACGTTTGTCCTAAAGTGCCGAATAGTGTGCCATGCTGTGTTTCGGCACAGTGTGCAGAGTTGATTACCCCTTGAGAGAAGTCCTTGTTTACAAAAGCTGTTACGCCCTAATTCTACCTCGATCTAGAATTATACTATTGCTAAGAACAAACATTTCCCTCCCAAAACGTTGTTTTCGGTTGTTACAAAGTGATATAGGGGAAATGGCTATTAGAGGATCTAAGATTGGGCCCATCGCTAAAAATCTGCTATTTATCAATTTTTT